ATGATGGTGTTTCACACATCGCATTTTGCAGGACTACTCATATCCCATAAACAAATCAATACAAGAACTTTCATGTAAATTTAACTGCCAATTATATATTTTCAAAATTGGTAGATGAAATGTCAAAAAAATTCAGATGAACGATGGAAAGCACTATCAAATAAGTCAGATTAATCAAAGGTTGTAATTTAATGATACTTCCTTACCTTCTAACGTAAAAAGTTGAACGTTCAAGCAAGCATGATTTTTTTAGCATTAAATACTAGTAATTTGTCTCATTTTTAGTTTTATACCTTTGAAATTTCAGCGTTGCCCTCCGAAATTATATATATATATATATATATATATATATATATATCACTTTTACCCCTTCACACCATTTTTTGGTCGCTGGGTTCAAGTCCCTATAAAGACAAAGTATAAGTCAAATCATAAAATTAAATTGTGATTCTGCCTAACAGGTGGTCTAGATTGCGCGAATTCCTCAATTAGTGCTCTCCTTGACAAAAGGATGAAAAAGTTGGGAGTTAAAAAAAGAAAAAGAAAAAAAGAAGAAGGGTTTGTTAGATTGCTTAAACCAACTGCATTGACATGGAAATTGTCTCCATTGGATAGTCTAAGGAGTAGATCATATTTAATTTCTTTGTTTTTTGAAAATAATTATTTTGTAGTTTTAAAAGGGTGTTGACATAAAGTGAGATTGATATTGGATTGAACATTGTTTAGTCTCACTTACTTTAAATGCTAATGATGTTGTGTTCTTTAATCAATCCAACTCTTTATAAGATGTTTAACTAATCCTTCTGAGTTCATAGAAATGAATGCCCTGTTTCTCTGTTATACACACACACACACACATTTGTAGGTTAATAACCCAACAAGACCATTTCGTAAGTGGTGAGAACTAAAAAAAAGGTTCAAATGATTTCTCTTTTAAGTGCGTTTGGTATAGATAGCTCTCAAATAATAACGAAATTCACTTTAAAAGGGTTATTTCAGCTCTTTAATTTATCAACAAATTTACAATTAATTTTTCAAATGCAAAAAAAAAAAAAAAAAAAGTCAACTTCTCAAAATTTCAGCACTACTAATTTGATAATAAACTTTTTAGCCCTAATTTTGTGGCAATAACAAACACGTAGAAACATGGTTTTTGTCCTTTCAGGGCTAAATTCATTATAATTTTGTGCCATTTAAGACTTTGGTAGCATTTTCCACTAGGTTACTATTACTTTCTTCTTTTCACCCATTTTTACTTATAAGATTTGAACTTTCAATTTTTTACTTTAAAAAAAATTATAAAGATGCATTGGATCATAATTTTTGGTTTGGCATTAACCTATGATGATTTGAGTAAAAGGCAAATATGCGAAGCAAACCAATTATAGGAGACATTTTATTTTCTTTATCTTCTATCTACCCATGCATCTCGAAACCTTGACCTAAAATTTTATAATTAAGATCCAAATCCTACTAATATAAAGATAGACTAGTAATTAAGAGAGACATTTACCTGCACAACATTCGTTTTTTATTAAGGCTCCATTCGTTTGGATATAAAATATTTTAAATTTTTTTAATATTTGGTTGTCGTAAAATATTTACAAAGAAAAAAAAATATTAAAACCTAATAAAAATAACTTACTCGTCAATTCTCTATAAGTTATTTTATAAGTCCGGCCTGATGGGCTCGACCTTAACCTCAATATAGATATTTGTCAAAAAATAAAAAATAAAACCTGAAAAAAATATTTTACTCCGAATCAAATACAGCTTAAGTTAATGGCCTAATGATCTCATCATCCCTAATTCAATCATAAGGCAAAAGATTAAAACATAAACACTCATACTAAGCTAGAGTAGTTTACCTAACCATCATTATTATTTGCTATATTAGTTTTTTTCAAGATTTGTGCTAGGCACAAAGCAACCACATGATTGGTGTGATTTTTTCTACTTTGACAGTATCACCTACCAAAAAAAAAAAAAAAAAAAAATCCTATTGCTCTCTTCACCCTAATGAGCATTATATATATAATCCTCAACTAATATGTCTTTTACACCCAATGTGCATGTAAGACTTTCAATTATTTTGGAATCAATCAGATCATTGGTTTATATTAAACCTAATGCCAAACTGCTTTCTTGATTTATTCAGTAGAATGGTTGTTAGTTGATTTTAACACAGTTTTATAATAACTCAAAACAAGAAGATGTTTCACACTAATTATATTCTAAAGGATGGTATGACTAAGATTAGAGGAATTATTTAATTAATTAAGAACTAATCAAATTAAACACCTATATAATAATACAAAAAACTTGTTTAAAATGAGTTCATCCAATAGATGGAAAGCTGTTCTAATTAATTTAAAATTTGTTTCTAGATTCCCCATTATGATAATGCCAAATAAGTACAAATATAAGATGGCAATGAAAGTCATTTTCTATGTCAAATAGTGGAAAAAGCACTTAGAATATGAACTCAAGTTGGGATTCTGAGACATTGGAGTTTGGATCAAGAAAACGATTTAAGTAAATTAAAGGCATATAACAAGCTGGTCCATTTAGTCATGCTACTTAATAAGACAAACACATCCAAACAGGGAATAGCAAAACTAGGGTCTATCTTTCATACTAAAATCTCCATCTAGATATGATTAATTATTAATATGAAAACTTACTTTTTATTCAAGAAAATAATAACAAACTATTTTAACTGTCAAATACGTTATATATTCAATTCTCTCCCGGATGACTTTATACATAAGTCGCACATATATCGAAAAGCCAACTCTACATGAATGCATTTTTCTGATTTTCACACACTGCACCAAGTGAAGCTTAAATCGCTAACTTTTTCTTAAAAAAAGAGATCATGTTATCAGAATTAATGATTCGTCGTGTACATGTACAGTTCGGTTGCGAAAATAATAATTTTTAAAAGATATGTTTTTCTTTTTTTAACCTCCATCTCATCCCATGTTTTACACACCATGGGACCATGACAGGTAAACCAAAGTCATTGAATCACATGAGACACAAACAGGAACTGATATTTCAAAATAGATATATATTTTTTTTCTTGTAGGGTTACAAAAAGGGGATGATCAGATGAAGCTACTGTCATTGAGTACACAGCATTGGTGGCTATTAACCACCCAAATTTACAAATTTTTGCTAATGGAAATCTTAAAAAAAAAAAGTGCTAGATAAAGTGAACCAATTTAACGTGAAAACAGTACTAGACTGAATGACTATGGATGCATTTATGAAATTTACGTTAATGAAAATAGTAGATAGAACGATTATGGACTGATCGATGCATTTATGAGATTTACGTGAATGCATCAACGGTGGACAATAGTCCTACTAGAATCATTTTCCCTTGAACCAAACATGCCTGTAGGTATATGTGGTTCACATTTTCTTTAAAGTCTAACCAATTCAATCCTATCCTTGCTAATCTTGTGTACAATTTCAATCATTAATCTTTTGTGATTAATGACATTTATTAGATGGGCATTGCAAGTAATGATGTAAATAGAACAATTTATCAAAGAAGAAATTGATTGATCTAATGATGGTTAGGTTTACTACATTATCACATAAAGTTTCTAGGTTAATTGGCCTTTATTAAAGAGGATAGCTTGTGGAAGTTAATGATAGTCATTCTTGTGGACAGCCTAGCCAATTAATTGACTTGTAGACCATTCGTCCTTGCCATATAGAAGTCCAATTTTCTATCAATTAAAAGCAGTTAGGTGTGTAATAGTAATATGTATATGATGTTTTCCTTTAATTGGAGGACGGCAAGTTGTCTCTTCAATTCCTTCAGAAATTGTACAAGTTTAGTTTGAAAGTTGATTTCTTAAGCCTTTATTCTTGCAAGTAATGTTACACTTTAGCCAAATTTCCAACTAAAATGGTGTTGGTTGATCAATATCAACTCTCTCTCTCTCTCTCTCTCTCTCTCTCTCTCACACACACACACACAGCAGTGAGCACATTTTAAATGTGATTCCCTTCCTCAGATCCATAGCTTAATCAACCACCCACTTTCCAAAATATTGGTGGAACTTCCCCTCTCCCAAACCACCTTTCACCTCTCAATTTTCTTTATATTTACGCCATGGAAACAACACACACACTAGCTAATAGGAGTATTTAAATTGGGAACTAGAGTAACCCCCCCTAGACATCATTTTCATGATAATTTTCACAAAAATTTGTTGCGAGCCCATCTCACCTTGTTAATCATAAGGGCTACGTAAGACTTAACAATACCTAGATTGACCTCCTTTACTCTATTCTGTATTGTAGTAAACTAGTTTTGCAATATATTACGTCACAATACAACATATTGCATCACGAGATATAATATTCATGCAACAATAATATAACTAAAACTTATGCAACACATTTACATCAAAAATGCAACTCCCATGTGACATATTACATCGTGTTGTAACACTTATGTAACATATTTATATCGAAAATGTAATTATTATATTTTCAATTTAAAATTATTGCGTTAACTATTTAAAATTTAAAATTATTGGGTTAGTAAATTAACGTAACAGACACAAGTAAAAACGACACTGAAAAAGATCTTTATTGGTACATAGATACTCCAAATTGATGCTATACAAAGGTATCTAATCTACTACTCATGCCTGTATATCTAATAAGCTGTATATATATAAAAGAGGAATATACACGAGGTAGTTTCCCAAAAACAAATGATAAACCACAAGAGGTCCCTACGTCTTACCTACAAGGATATCATTATAAGATAAGCTTTTTCTCAACCATTCACACAGAGACAGAGAGAGAGTGTGTTTATTTTCAAAGTAAACCTTTGGTGGAAAATATCCAATTAAAAAGAGGGTTCATCCAATTCTCTTTCCTTCTAAGCCTGCATTATATTAATCTTACGTACCCCACCTAGCAAATCATTATATATATACCACCACTCATATTAGTATTAGTTATCATAGTGTCCTCTATCTCTCTCTCTCTCCCCTCCCTCCCTCTCTCTCTCTCTCTCTCTCTCTCTCTCTCACACACACACACACACTGTGTGTGTATTGTGTGAGTGCTGGTAGCTGGGTGCTGGTTTGGAGATTTGTCAGGTTGAAAATGGGCAGGAAATGTTCACATTGTGGCAACATGGGTCACAATTCAAGGACATGCATGAATCACAGAGGAGGTCTTATTAATGGTGGTCTAAAGCTCTTTGGGGTGCAACTTGACATATCTAATATTTCTTCGTCTTCATCATTTCCTGATGCCTTGAAAAAGAGCTTCAGCATGGATTGCTTAATGCCAGCTTCATCGTCGTTTGTCTCTTCATCAACACCCTCTTCTTCAACATCCTCTCTTGCTCTCTCCATAGATGAAAATTTTGACAAAATGTCCAATAATGGTTATGTCTCTGATGGCCTAATTAAACGAGCTCAAGAGAGGAAGAAAGGTCAGTTTCAATATTGAATTTCATATTAATCTCTCTGTTTATTGCTTTAGTTAGTAGTTCTCTTCTTCATTTTTTTTTTTTTTTTTTTTTTTTCTTCTTCTTCTAATTATTGTTGGATCTATGTCATGGTGATCCAAGTCCACTCTATCTACAAGTTGTCTTTCTTTATATATATTCTGTTAAAAGATTTGATTTAATTCATGAGTTGTTTGATTGTTAGTCTAGTTTATTTATTTATTTTTTTCGGTAAATTAGTTTAGTTTGTTGTTTCTACAAGTACTTGCCAAAAGATCTATGGTAAGAAGTTTAATGACCTTGTTTATGGTCTTTACTTCAACTTACAGTTAATTCCCATGCAACTAAAAAACATGGCAATTTTCATTATTAATTTCTTATTGTTTCTCATCTCTAAGGAAGATATATTTATATATGTTTGTGTCTCTGTGGTTTTTTTCCTATATCAATCTTCAGGTACTTCTTTTAGTTTTTTAAATATTTTCAAGATATCCATCTTCTATCCTTTTTGGTACTATAGCTTTTCAAAACTTCAAGATATCCATTCTTTATCCTCACCCCTCTGCCAGCTCCCAAAATTATATATATATATATAAATTAAAAATAAAAAATGAAAAAAAAGGCATAATCTTGTAGTCACATTTATTTAGTAATTTGTCTGAGAACTATGGATTTGTTGCAAAATTCTGATTCTTTCAATATATTGATAATTTTTTTTAATAAAAAAATAAAAAAGAATGGATGCTAGTTCAATTATTTCCATGGCGTGGCTAATGTTCCGGACTACTGCGCAGGTGTGCCATGGACCGAAGAGGAGCACCGGATATTTCTAGTCGGCCTTGAAAAGCTGGGCAAGGGTGATTGGAGAGGCATCTCCAAGAACTTTGTGACCACAAGAACTCCAACCCAAGTGGCCAGTCATGCACAGAAGTACTTTCTTCGACATAACTGTCTCAACAAGAAGAAACGCCGCCCTAGCCTCTTCGACGTGGTATATATTTACCAGTAAATTACGACCTGTTTGATTTGTAACTCTAAGAATAGTTTTTTATTTTCTAATTAAATTCTCATTTTTCCAATGGCCTTCTTCTTGCAGGTGGAAAGGGACAAATTCGCCATCCAATCACTCAATACTAAAATTTCTATGTCAATTCCACATGGGTTGTCACCAAAGACAAATGCTTCAATGTTAAGTTATCATTCCTTAGAACAGGATTCGAAATCAAACCATCTATCAATGGCTAGTTGGCTATATGGACCACTTGAATCACAGTCTACCACTTCAAATTTAGCTAACGCCTCTGTTCAAAGTGGAGCGCCTGATTTGGAGCTTACCCTGGCAGCCCCGAAGCCCAAAAGTCAAAGTGAATCATCCTCAAGACGACGCGTTTTAGTAGGACCAATTAGTGTGATATGAAAACAACATCACAAAGTGTTTCATGCAGATCAATGAAGATACAACTATGTTTATGTACACCTGCAAATTGTCCATGCATTAATTCATGTTCTATCAATAGAACCAGAATGTTCACCTTATTGTCTTCAGGAATTTATACTTATTTTCACTACAATATGTAGACTTATGATAATGGTATTAATTGTAGACTTATGATAATTGTATTATACATTTGATAGAGAGGCTTTTGCTCTCCTCTCCAAAGCCTCCAAAGGTTGTGCGTTCGAACTACTATAAGATATATATATATATATATTGCTTTCGTTATGGGACACAATTTTTGACAATGAAGTAATAAAAGTAATAGATTGGGTTGAGCTTCGAGGGCTTATCTATTTGTTTGTTCAAGCTTGGTTTGCGGAACTTGAAATGAGATTCATTTATCATGTTGTCTGACAAGGTTATACTACCACGCAAGTGGCATTACAGATGATTGATATGAATAATTTGCATGCTGGGATATTTAGAATTCTCCACTTCTATAGATAATATTCTCTAAAATAATATAGAATTGTATAGTAACCTTGTAAATATCTTAGATATTCTTTTGTAGTATTCTTCGTCGTTGGATAGACCATGTGTACAAATTATTGTCATTGTACAAAACCGAGCTGGCCTATAAATAGGTTGGCAGATCATTTGCCCCACACACCAAAGAAGAAAAAGTTGTAAAACATTCTATAGTACAATATTATAGGTTGTTCATTACTTGAAAAACACCAACACAATCAAATTTAAAATTTATGGTTAATTTTAGGAGTCTACCTTCTACTTTAGTAAACTTTTGTTTGGAAAGATGATTATTTTGATTACTATTATGACCAAGTAAATTTACATAGGCAATTTACAGGCTCACTGCAATCATTCACTTCTACACCGAGCCTTTTTGAAAATTTATGTGTGTACAAAATATATGTGTATATATATATATATATAAATATTTCAGAACACTTTCAACTGTGACCGACAAGTATTTGAGATGCGTTTGTGTGTTCGAATATCAGACACTACCATGGCACCTAGGTGCCTTCTAAATGGCAACTATGCTACTTTTAAAAGTATTGATCCAAAAATAAATAAATAGAAATTCTATAATTCACAAATTTGGACGGACACTAGTCAAAAGCAAGTCCATACACATCGGCTTATCACCTGCAACACCATTTTTATGCATAGTTCTAAGTCATAATAATTATTACACATGATCCTAAACCAAAGTCGACACAAAAAATAAGTTAATACATTTATTTGCATGTCAATATAATTTCGAAATCATAAAATAATTTGTCTCTAAATCATAGTCAACTCAAGTGATTAGATTTACCAGTCACATACCCAATAGCCGAAACATGTATGAACACGTATACAAAGGGAAGAGAGGAGGAAAAAGAAAAGAACAAGTGGAGGGTAATTAAGCACAAAATTGAAGCTTTTCAAATGCTAAAACCATCTGGAAGACCCAATAAAGTCCACTTCAGTTTGGTAGGAGAACGTGACATGGATGAGTAAAATTAGTCACAGAATTCCTATCCATGAGTTCTTGTAATAAAAAATAAATAAATAAATAAAAATTAGAATACACATACATATATAAATAGATATATATATAGATACAGAACTCCTATTCTTGGCATTTTAAATTCATTTATACCATTTAATCTTTATCTTGGACAAAGAAATGAAATAAGTCAAGTCATTCGATGGAAACTAATAATTATAAGACATACACATGTTTGACCCACTAAATGGGATGTCTTATATGTTGATTAACAATGATGGTTTAATCTTATAAAATAAATTGATGTTACCAACATGAGTTGAGAGCTGACCTGGCTTCACAACTAGTGTCGACATATGTATGGCTAAATAATTCATTGCTAGCTTCTAATTAATTAAACCATCCTTATATTTATCAAAACAATCCCTCCCCTCAATTTTGATTTTGAAAGATTCGTCATTTTATAATCATTTACAAGAAATAATAACATATCAACAACCAAACAGATATTTATACTTTATTTCATACAATCATCACCAACATATAGGATTTTTATACATGTTGTCGTCAATTACATTAACGTCAAATTTAAAGATATTGAATTGATAATTTGAATTTGAAATAAAATATATTTAATTTAAAAATCATACTAAAATATCTCTCGTCTCAAGTTAAAAAATATAAATAAAACAAAATTTTAAAATATCACAAAATTATGGCCCATGTTTTCCAAGTTAAAGAGGTGCTTGTCTGCTATTAGTTGATCAAAAGTCCAAAAAAGCCAGAGTCTCTGAAACCACGTCAAATAATTTTTTTGCTGTTTTGGGTATATATAGAAACATATATATTTTTTCGTCCTCAATAGACTAGGTAAAGTAGACAACATCAAAGTCAATTTTAGAATTTAAATTTCGAATTTCGAACCAAATTGTCAATTGGGCAAATATAATGCTTTAATATCTTGTTTTTCTTCTACGTTAAGTTGTCATTCCTTAAAGCAGCATTCAAAATCAAACCAACTATTAATGTCTGGTTGGCAATATGGATCATTTGAATCACAGTCTAGCATTTCAAAGTGGAGAACTTGATCCGGAGCTTACCCTGGCAGCCCAAAGGGCCAAATATGTCTTCAAGAGGTCGCCTTCTGGTAGGACCAGATAGCATGATTTGAAAATAATATTATGAACAAGACGACGTGAACCAGATAAAGTAATCAGAAAATAATATCATTGAAAACAATGAAGATACGGCTATATGTATGTATACACACGGGCGGAGCCAGCATGTGCTCAGGGGCAGCTGGCCCATCTACTCCTGAATCCACTATATTTTATGTATATAATTTGTAATTATTTATAAAATACTCCGATAAACTTTATAAATTATCCTCTATAAAATTATATATTTCTAAAAACGCCTTTAATTCTTTATTCATTTTCTTTGTTATTCTTCAAATTTCTTTTTGTTATCTTCAAAAACTTTTGTATTCTTTTTTTTACAATTAAAACCTATTTTTTTCCTTCAAAATTCTCTCATATTTTTTCTTTTTATTTCATTTTCTTCTTTAAAATTTCATTTTTGTTCTTAAAAATTTCTTTTTTCATGCACTCATGCATAATTTATGTGCAATAAATTCTTTCTTTTTTTTTTCTCTCTCTTCTTATTCATTTTTTATTCACTTATTCTAATGTAATGTTGTTACGCTATTATATTTTCTGCGTGTTTGGAAAAAAAATTATTTTGTCAGTGTTAACATACCTCCTGAAACCAAATTCCTAGCTCCGCCCGTGTATACAATCATATTTTCAATGCATTTCTTCATATTCTATCAATCGAGATTATGTTCACCTTATTGTCAAGAAGAATTTTAAATTATTTTTACTATACTTGATTGATATTTTTAGTATCATTCATTTATTTTGATAGGAGTAATATTGTGGGTATGTGTTAATTAGCTCGAACACAAATAATATTTGACAGTAAATAATAAAATTGATAAATTGAGCGTAAAGGCTTATCTATTTTAACACTCTAGAGTCGCAAGTACCAAGTAGCATTGTAATATATATTCTTGATATTGTTTTGGAATATCTTAGAACCAACTTCTAGAATTTTCCCCAATCAGACTACATGTGTATAAATTATAGTCATTCATTGTAAAGCCACTCCGTGTATATATATAAGTTGGGAGTTCATTTGCTCTCAACAAGCAACCAAGAGTTGTAAAGGGTACCTCACACCTTCTTTTCCGTGGTATTTGAGGTTCATGAATAAATTGAGGAGTCTACATTTTGACTATGGTTGTGTAAATTTTCTTGCTGATCAGATTGCATTAATTCTTACCATTAATATATTAGGTTCAAATAGGGACCTCAATTGTAATGAAGAAGTCAAAGAAATCATATACCTCTTTCTCCAGGACCAACACGATCTACTCAATGCAATCCACGAATTCCCGAATGTAAATGCTAACATGATTCCCCATGAAAACGGTTAAAACTACTTGTATTGAGCAAATTATGTAATTAAGTCTTTTATTTTTAATTTTATCAAATTATGAAAATTTAAAAAGTGATATTTAGATTAAATTAATATTTAAATATTACATAATTTTTTATATTTAACATTTTATATGATTTATAAATTTAGAGATGGGATCTTTGTATGACTTAGTTTGGTAGAATATGGCATAATTGACAAGTTGTTGGTGCGGATGAAATTCTCAGTCAAATTCGTTTGTGTACATGGAATACCAGTAAGGCAATTGAGCATCATTGAAATGGATTCTCATGACAAACAATATATTAAATCTGTCACGATTAGACCACTATAACAAATTAGGTCTGTTATGACCAATGAAAGTATACCATATGAATATTTAGTGAGACTGATTTGAAAATTTCATCTTAAATACTTGAGCAATTAACTTGCAGATGAAGGAAGGAAACAAAAATGACCAAAATTGATCAATTGATCAAGGTTTGAAATTGGTAAATACTTATGTCGCATTTGATGACACATTTTTGGTGATCACAAACATAACTTTAATACATTTTTAAACAAGTTCGAATATAAGATTGAACCAAAATGAATAAATATGATTAAGGACCAATCAATTAAAATCAACCAAGAAGATGACTCAAGAGCTGAAAGATGTGCGAACATGTATACAAAGGAAGAAAAAAGAAAAAAAAAAAAGGGTGATTGAGCACAGAATTAAAGCTTTCAAATTGGAGGCTCACCTCACAACTTGGATTGGGAGTGCGAATCCCATTAGGGCCACCCTCAGAAAAATTTCTAAGTAATTGTTCAGTGCATGTGGGATAAAACATGATTTCGATAGTAAATTATGGAATTCCTTAAGTGACCGGACATCCAAGTTCCAAAAAAAAAAAAACAAAGAGGGGGTCAACTTCCATACTTAGAACATTGCTAAAGCAATCTGGGAAGACTTAAAAGAAGTCCACTCCAGTTTGGTAGGAGAATGTGAAATGTATGACTACAAGAGTCACACAATTCCAAGGTAGGTACAGAAATATTTGAATATATGATATACATATATAAAAACTAATATAACTATACATATACAAAGCTTGGCATTTTGTTTTCATTCATTC